TGAGTCGCTAAAAAATATTTTACAAATGTCACGAGTCTCAAATTTATTTATTTATGTTTTACGGCCCCCCCCTCCAACAACGAACAATGCAGCAATCGACGTTTTCATTAGCGTCATCATATAAAAAGCACTAAAACAGAAATGGCTAAAAATGAGTAAAAATGGGCAGAGAAACACAACGAATATTCATTGCGTATATTGTGTAGCAATATATTTCATTTGATCGAGAAGCTACCGTTTCTCGAAACAAATCCATGGTCTGTTTGCGCACAAAGCCGTCCCATTGTCCAGCCATCCATCGATCGATCCAACGCCGGCCGTATCGATGCTTTTGGTGGGCGCCCAGTTATCGAGTCTCGAATTTCCAGTGACGTATAATTGATTAACACCCAGTTTTATTTTTTTTTTTTGGGGGGGGGTTTCTGTTTATGTTTCTGTTATTTGACTTAGTTATTTAATACGTTTTTGCCGCCTGAGTAGCCGGAACTAAAGCCAAGCCAGGCCATAGAGCCATCAATGTTTGGGCTGGGTGAAGTGAAGTGCATTTATGGCCAGGCCGGCGGCCACCAACACTTTCTTCGCTTTGAAAAGCGAAACTTTTGATGGATGGATATTTCTTGAGCATTTCTTAGCGACTATTTGAGTATAGCGCCATCGTCGTAACAGATTGAGTCAATAGAATGCGCCTTTGAGATGCTGTGAAGATGGGTAAACAACGTGCTGACGGCTGCCAAGAATATTTCAAAGAAGTTTTCGAGTTGTGTGGAATTTAAATAGTTTAAGGTGAAGACTATGCAGCCCTTTATGTAGCAGATATCTGTCAAAAGAGAAGAACTTTAGCTGAGAACGTGGCCAGTAGAATTTATTCAATACTCAAACATATAAAGCACCCAATGGGAGCCTCCCATTGACCTCCTTTTGCGGTCTATCCTTTTCGGGCACCTACTCTTAACTTTCACTTATTTATGCAGCCATCGTCAGCCATTCAACTTTATGCACTAAACCTGTCAATAATTCACAGACGCATCATCATTCAAATCCCCCAAGCAACAATTGGAACATTTAATTAATTTAATTAACTAAAGGATTAACTGCCGAGATTGAAAATGCCCAGAGGGAGGAATGTGAATTGCTTGCAGCCAGAGGCGCTCATCAATAAGTACGAGTACCAGTACCAGTTGGCTCCGCTCCTCTTCAGCAAAAACTTCAATGCGAAGAGCTGAGAGCTTTAGCTATAGACTGGGAGCTGGAAGCTGGAAGCTAATCAAGCGGCATTCAGGCAATGGCAACGCTTTGCTATGCAGTCAGCACGCTTTATAAAATAATGATTGGGCGCTGGGTAGGCGGAGTACGGCCAAAGAGGGAGTTTGGGAACCGATCCATCCTCCTTTTGATTGCACCCGTAAGTGCCATATTGTCACCGTTTGATCAATCAAACCAGCCGCCGCGAGGAGGCATTGCCACTGCATGGAGCAGACTGGCAGACAGATAGACAGACGTACAGACAGATCGTAAATGTAACTCAATCCCCATTGATGATTGTTGCGTAACTTGTTTCCACTCGATGTTGCAGTTGCAGTTGCAATTAGCTTTCAATCTCACTGCCAGCCAGCTTGGGTCGATCGGTTCTGCTCTTTTGCTCATCGATGATGGCTGGGACCTTCGCTAATTGACAATATTTATGAACACGTACGCATTTTATCGCCCCCAGTACCGTAATTGGGAACGAACGCCGCCGCCGCCGTCGTCGTCGCAGTCATCGCCCACAGCTGCTGCTGCTTCTCCTGCTGCTGCTGCTTGGCTGCTGGGCCAATTATTTTCATCAAAATTGTTGACAGTCCTCAACGTGCCCACAATGAAGAGATCTGCGCGATCTTAGCGTGCCCCAACTCCTTCGCTTCGTACCACCACGTTTTGGTTATACGAATGCCAAACTGTGCCATAAATTGTCACCAGATGAGAGATCTCTATGAGTGATTCTATGGGACGTCATCAGGTCTTGACTTGCACTCGTCACTGTTCACCGTTCATCGTTTGCCGTTTTCTCAGTTTTGCTATTTAATTAAATTTACTTTAATTGCACATAAAAGCATTCTTTGTGTTTTTTTTTTCTTATTCAAACAAGTTCCATTTTCTTCTGTGTGTTCTGTTCGAGCACAAAAAGTAGTTTTTGCCTGTCGAAGTGCTGCTTCTAGCCAGCTGATGATGATAGACATTAACCTCTGGGGCAAGCACTCACTTTGTGGTGTGTCTCACATGGCCACATTTACGTACAGAATAGAATTGTCATAATATTCTTTCTTTATGGCAAATGACAGAAATGTGTACTACTCGTATGTGGAATTAACAGAAAAATTTGTTCTAATGGGTAAAGTGAACGAAACGAATATTACTTAGGTGCTGCCTACAGCGATGATAGGTGCTGAAGATAATTCATCATATAAAATACAACACTTGTAAATTCTTAAGTGGTATCGAGAGCTGCAGACAATTCATCAAATAATATGAAAAACTTTTATAATCTTAATTCCACCAAAAAGTTTAATTAATCCTCTTAAGCATTGCATTAATTGTGTTCTATATGTTGAAATTTCCGATAAATTATTGGGTTAATCGAAAGGGAATTTATGGAAAATAGAGAATACAATTTTTAGCCCTACAAACCGCTTCGAGCGCTGTGAACCTCAAACAAATACAATGGAATGGCAATTGCTTATTCCGAAATCCCTAAATACCAAATTGTAACCCTCGGGAGTTTAGTTTTAAATTCTTTTGAAAGCTGATTTCCTTGTTTTTGATTACTTAGAAGGTCTCTAGGCTGGGCCCCTTAAAGTTTGACCTCAATTGAGTTGAATACGCGCACAAAACTAAACTCCAACTCGCAGATTGATTGCTGTTCCAACATTCCAAGATTGATCTGCTAAAGGTATTCAAAGTAGAGCGTTGCTTCCGTTTAATTTGGAGCCCAAACCAAATGGATGCCCAAGTACATTTCGTTTGAAATTCAATTAAAGCAGCATCCCCCAGTCGTATGACCTTCCCAATGCAACTTCACGATCGTTCCATTCCCATGCCCACACCGCTTAACACTCTTTTTTCTTGGGGAGGGGAGGCGGCTATAAAGCCAGAGCTACTGGATGATGGGGCCATGCGTTAAAAGTTTTATTCGTTTCTGCTCTTTGTACTTACTGTGTACAGGTATGTTGTGGGTTTTGCGTATTGGATAAACGAAAATTGAAATTATAAAACAATTAAAGGCGGTCAGCGTCAACGGCAACGGCAACGGCAACTTGTGCGAGTACGCCGTCTCGTATGAGTGTAGCAGGGAATGGCTAATTAAATGTAATTAATTTTCACATGCCTCAAAATTAAATGCATTTAAATCAAAGAGAACCGAGAGAGAGAGAGAGAGTGAGTGAGCTGTTGCTGTGAGCTTTAAAGGCGAGCAAGCGAGCAAGCGAGCGAGCGGCGTATGCTTTAATAGCCACCGACCGACTGACTCTTAAAAGTGATTTAAAAAGTTTCATTAAGATAAACCAGCAACAACCACAAAGTGTTATAGCAATTTAAATTTTAATTTAAGCTCACAGTGGCGGCTGGGCTATGACGACAGGTGAATAAACCATGGGTCAGATTTGGCATCAGATTCAGACTCCAGCACTGAAAAAAAAAAAACAAAAAAAAAAAAAAAAAAACGAAAAGCTAAACTTAACATCTTGTGGGCCATTTACCGTTGCGCCCTCGAGGCGTGGCCGACTCTCGTCGTTTCATTTTATTTTCGAGGGCATCCTCCTTTCTGTCTCTCTGTCTCTCCGATCCCAAACGCCCAAGCCCAACAACATATTAATGGCCCCGACCAACCATTTGAGACAAACAAATTGTCGGCTACTGAAATGGCATGGGATCCCATGCCTCTCCCCTTTTGCTGTTGGCTTTCTCGCTCGTAACCAGAGATCTTCCAACAAGCAACAAAACCGAAATTTCAATGGAAAAAATGGCGTTTAACTGTAACTCGCGCAATGTGAAACATTTTCGGGTCAGGTGCAGACTCCGGTGCAGACTCCGCCGCGCACAGATTTCACCAACCTGTGTCCCAGACAACGCCCCAAAAAAAGAGTTTTTTTTTTTTGGCTTTGGTTTCTGTGCGTTGGGTCCATTATCTTACGGTAATATCGCTCATAAAGCGTTGTCTGTTTTCTGTACCCTTGCTCAAGTGGCACCAACACCATCACCATCCCCATGATTCATGATCATGATCATCGTTCGCTGGGCAACCTTCGGGATCTCTAGTGAACAAGTAGTACATATGAACAACATATAGCATCTTAAGCTCGTTATGGTTTCCCCTCTACACACACACACACACACACACACACACGTACATATGTAGCTGTAGCTCCCTCTTTTCGTTATTTGTTTTTGGTGTTACTTTTTCGTTTGGCTCTTGCGCAGATTTATGTTCGAGTTGTTCATTTTGATTGGTGGTAAGCAGCTCTTGTTGTGATATTTTTTCATTTATTTTGCCTTTTGTGTGTGTATTTCTTTAAGGTTTATTGCAAGACATTTATTTTGGTGGCTCGTTGTCTTTGGTTTGGGCTGCAATTTCCGGTTAAGCAGCCACATTCCAGCCACAGTCGGCCATTTTGCTAACGAATGGAGAGGTAGGAAGTAGCTTGAGCAGAGATCTTCTATATCTCTGTTATGCCAGACACTTAATATATTTATTTTTTATGATTATTTATTTTTTATTATTGCTTTTTTTTATTATTTATTTCTTATTATTATTTTTTTTTTATTATTATTTATATTATTATTATTTAAATTTATATTTTATTATTATTTATTTTGTATTATTATTTATTTTGTATTTATTTATTTTTTTAATATTTATTTTTTGTTATTATTTATTTTATATTATTACTTATTTTTTATTATTATTTATTATTTATAATTCTCATAGTTTTATACGTATGACCCCCGCCCCCCCATTTAATCTTCACCACCTGCCCAAAAAGACATGCACATTATTTGGGAAATGTATCATCCCACAACAACGTTATCTGTCATATGAAACATATACCACTTAGTGGGTAGAGCGACAAGCGTCAGACGACAACCGTACCAGCCGCTCCACAAAGCCCGCCCATGCCATAATGCACTCGTAATGCGACTCGTGCCCCCCCTCTCAGTGTAAGGGGAAGGAGGAAGGAAGGGAGGGTCACGTTGGGAGCAGAGGATTACGGGAGCGAGGCCTTAAAACGCGCGTTAATTAACCGTTCGTGAGGAGTGCGTTTGTCAAGCGGTTAAATGGGCAACGACTGCTACACTCCACGGCTCTGCGCGGCTCAGAAATTTTATCAAAAAACTCAAATCAGTTACAGCAAAAGCTCACCTGCAACAATGACAAGTGTTGATGACGATGAACGATGAACAAGGTATGGGGTCCGAGATAATCGTAACCCGTACCGTACCGTATCCGTACCCGTACCCGTACGTGTGCAGTGACGAGACAGAGACCCAACTGTCTGTGTGTGTGTGTGTGTGTGTGTGTGTGGAAGGCTGACTTGACCCGTGTCCACCATTCGTTAAGCTTGGCTATAAAACAAAATGAAAAATGTTGTTGCAAAATAAAAAACAAGCAGAAAAAAAAAAAAACCAGACTCTGAAACACTTGTATCCCATCAAGTACTGGGGGCAGGGGGCAGGGCAGGGCATCGAAGGAGCTGCTGCTCTATTAGATTTAAACGTAATGATTAAACCACAGTCAGAAGACAGACTCCAGTGCAAGTGCAATCAATTCTGGAAAAGTTCCAGCACTGACCCCAAGCAAAGCAATCCATTATCCTTGACCTTTCGTTTATTTACACGATTGCTCTCTACTGTCTGTGGCATGTACGGGATTTACATATCTCACAGTTCTCCTTAGTTACGAGTACGAGAGTACCAATTAAAAGCAATGCTGCCGAGGAGATTGTTGAAGCATAGGAATTTTTATGGGCTAAGAGGTCAGGGAAACAGCACAAAAAACACAAAAAAAAAAAGAAAAGAAAACAGAGAGGGGATCGGTAAGAATGTGTAAGAGTGATAAGTGGGATTATAGTTAAGACTTACGATTTACCACAGCATTTACTGGGATGTACTGGATTCACTAGAAAAAAAAACAAAGATTATTATTTAAATACGAATATAATAAACAAAAATATACTTTATCTTTTTTAATTCTTCCAATTCCGATGTGACCCAATCCAGTTAATTATAAATTACAGCCACTCCCAAAATTATGCCACCAATAAACACAAACCCATTTAAGCCAAGTTAGCACCCGATTGAAATAAATACTTTAAAATCGAAATTCTTTTCAAATTAATTGCTTTACTTTAACTTGTTTTTTGTTTTGTTTTTGTTTTCGGTTCGTTTGGTTTTTCTTTTTAACACAAGAGCACGTACAATTACGAGTATAACTGTAATGTTTTTTTGTTGTTTTGTTTTTTAATTTTCATTTCATTTACGCTCTTAAATTCTACAAAATATTTACAAATATCATTCGTGTGTGTGTGTGTGAGTGGGGGGCTTGTGTTTATCAGTAGTGTGTGTGTGTGTATCCGTTCTAAATTTTAGATTAGTTTAATTGTGAGTTTTTCGTTAGTTTCTCAAGCCGACAAAAATATTTAGTAAAATGATGAAAAATATATGCAGCATTTGATGAATATAATTTTGTTTCGTTGTTAGCAAGCTGCAATTCTGTGATGTGATCTCTTATACGATGGGCTAAAAGCGAGTGCAAAGGCTTTATCCTTGTATATGGAAGGAACAGGAACAATGGACGATATTATCTCACAGTTATGCGTGTGTTGTGTGCTCATGTTATGTGTGTGTGTGGGTTTGATTGCTTCAGTTTTGTATACTATTTAGTATTTATATATGTACGTATGTGTATATCAATATTCGTTCCAGTGGCAACATAAATGCAAAACGTAACACTTTCAACACATTTTGGGTGCTGTAACAAATTTTCCTTTACGGCTAAATGCTAAACAACATTATTGAACTACCAAAAACACATTAACTGCTAAAACGCTAAACAAAAATTCGTGTTTCACAATTATTCATTTTCATTTTCAATTATTATTTATGGTTTTTTTTTTTTGTCTAAGATTTCTGCTTGTGTGTGGGGTGCAAAATACTATTTCAGATTGATTTTTCAGTAAACAATTTCTGATAAAATTGATATCGAAATGGATTTCTTATAACATTTTCGCTTTAGCTGGGGGGTTTTCTTTTGCTTTCTACTAGTACTAGATTTCGTTAATTGTTTGCTTCCAACTCTGGACAAGACACACAACATTCAGCAAATTTGCTCACATACGAGTATCAGTATCGGGTAACTTTGACTAGAACTCATCAGCTAAGTAGATGGGAAGAGTGCATAGAAAACTATTTACAGAGTGTGTGTGTGGCTGCTAATCAAACTCTACTTTGAAGAAGCCTAGTCATCGGTATGCGGATGTGGATGATGATACTGCTGCTGCTGCTGTTGCTGCTGCTGCTGTTGCTGCTGCTGCTGCTGCTGCTGTTGATATTGATAGTGATGCTGCAACGATGTGCCTGCCTGGCTCGATGTGGATGTCGGTGCTGTCGTTGTCGATACGTTTGCTGTTGCAGGCTTGATCGCAGGTTGTAGATCCTCAATTTGAATCAGTTGTTCGATGGGTATAAGCGACAGTTCACCGCCCACTGCCTGGGGTATGGGCAGCTTAGCCAGAGCCTAGTTTTGTTAGTTCGATTAGTTTGATTAGTTGGGTGGGTTAGTGTGTTTAGTTTCAGTTAAAAGCAGTAACTTTAATTAGTTTTTGCGTACCTTGGCATGCTCTACGGCAATGGTGGCTGCCTTTTCAGCTTCCCGCTGTCTTCGTTCCTTCAGTTTAAGCGAGAATATAGCCACAGATCTCGCACTTTTCACCAGCTTTTGCTTGAGACGCGATTTCTTGGCCGCCAATTCGGCCGCTGGAAAGCAGCAAATAATAAATTAAAGATCCGAATCAGTTTAGATTCATTTTATATGTCATACCCTTGGCTTCATCATCCAAGGCGCCCGCTGATGTGGAGGCAGCCGCTGCCTCTTCCTTTTCCTTCTCCTTCTCCTTCTCTCTTTCCTTCTCCTTTTCCCGTTCCTTCTCCCTTTGCTTCTCCTTTTCTTTCTCCTCTTTTCTCTCTTTTCTTTCTCCTCTTTGCGCTCCTTTTCTCGCTCTTTTTCTCCTCCTTCTTTTCCCTCTCCTTCTCCTCCTTTTCCAGTTTCTTTTGCTGCTTGTGGGACGAACTGGATGACGAATTTGATAGGGCACCCACACTGGGCCTTGACTGCGAATTGCTGATGCTGCCGGAGGCTCCAGTAGGTCCCGGACCGCTGGGACTGAAAACGCTGCCACCGCCACCCGACGACGAGGAGGATGAGGCCACTATATGCTGTTGTTGCTGCGAGGCTGGTGGGGTGGCCAACATGCTGCCCGGAGCGCCCGTCTTCAGGGCCACATTGCTCCAGGACGGGGCAGGCTTTAAGATATCCGAGGTATCGGCATTGCTACCGAGTTCCTAAATTTGCAAAATGATAAATGTTATTATTTAGCTTGGTATTTCAATTAAAATATATTTGTATGTATGTATGTATATCTCTAGAACTACACACACATCGAAAGCTCTTTGAAAAGGAATAGGCTATGAGGATTTGTGTGTGTTTTATGGTGTAAGAAGTCCATGCCATTTGTTAGTGGGGTGAATGGGGTGAAAGGCCAGCGTGTGATGTGAGTGTGAGAAAGCTTCTTCCATGCCCAATTAAATGTTGTTAAATATATTTTCTGTTGCCCAAAACGATATCAAACAGGGGGTACAACTTTAAGGTTTAACTTTGGGTGTGTTACATATCTACTGCAATTATTAAATATCCTGCAACATCAAAACACACACACACACACACATCGAATAACAAACACATTCTGCTTTGGTTATAATATATATATATATATATATGTATATGTAATTGGTTATACATATTGTATATTTGTATCGCTGCACTACCTTGGCAATACAATCTATGCTTCTATGCAGATTCGCATTGTCGTTGACTTTTAAACGTGACATCCATTCGGGTGCATGGAGTTTTATGTGTAGCTTGTCCTTTAAACGGCAAAAGTCGAGCGGGGTAATTTTTGGTTAGGTTTGGTTAGGTTAGCTTAGAGTGAGTATTACGAAAGCTCGTAATAGGTTTTGGGTTAGTAGTGGGTGTGTACTTGGTGGTGGGTGGCTTTTGTGAATACAACTTTAGGGGGAGCAGTTAAACTACATCAATCAAGGGTGTGCTGTCACATTCCTAGGGGGTTTCCTATTGCTTATCCTAGCAGTTGTGCTAGAAATGGGGGTTCCTTCTAATCATAATTGAAGTTATGGCAGCATTATTGAGGCAGGGACTCATGTACTATCCATGTCTATCTATCCCTAATATTTATTTTCCTTTTCAAACCTTAAGGAATTTTATTCTGTTTAAATTGATTAGTTTCAATAATTTCGACGACTTATCTTCAAATTTTTTTATTGTAGTCTGTAATCCAGCCTACTGGTAATTTTAATTGGAGAATCCATTAAATTCTATCCACTTCCATTTAATAGCAGATATATACGATTTATATCAGATGTAACCCTACTCAGACTCAGTTCTATGCCACAATCTGATTTCAATAAAGATCTATCACTTTTAAATACATAACTCTACTGCAAAGATCTACATTTAAAATTCCCTATGCTAGTTCTTCTTCCTCAAATGATATCAAGCACCCGAAAATAATTATTAAATTGTTGGTTTAGTAGATTTGCTAGATTAATCACAAGTATCGAGATTAATCACAGCTATCGAAGGGTGTTTTTTTTTGTTCAGTAAATACAAGAGTCTACTAAACACAGATAGTACATTGAGGAGCAGCTACAGACACAGTCGACACAGTCGTCGGTTGTGTTGTGTTGTCTAAGGATACTCATTGTGAATGGGTAGTAGTAGTGGCAGAGGAGTCTATAGAGTCTACCCCAAGATCTTACACTCATGTTCAAATGCGTTGCACTCTCTGCAGATATTTTGCGCGTCTTGAAGGGCGGTATCTCCGATAATCTCTGTTGATGTTGCTGCTGCAGTTGTTGTTGCGGCTGATATTGCGCTGACAGTTGCCGCATCGTGGCACGCTGGGGACTGCTGCTGTTGCTGCTGCCAGTGTGTTCGGCAGAGTCGCTTGATTTCTTACGGAACGGCGGTATTTCTGGCAAATGCATCGGTTGCATCCGGGCTGCATACGCGGCGGAGTTCAGGGCTAGCGTGCTGGCGGAAGCTCTGTGTGCCATGAGAAAAAAACAAAGCGAAGATACAAAATGTGGAAAATGTATTAAAGTGTAAGAAAAAAGATTAAAAAGAGGGAGAATAAATTGTAAGCTGGAGATTAGTAAAGAATTATATAGGGGTAAAAGCAGCTTTGCCAATTTCGAGAGTTTTTGCATCACAATAAATTTTGAAGGCATCAAAACACAGCAACACACACAGAACACAGAAAGTGAAGCAGATCTGTTACAGATTTTAGTTGGAGTTTACTCTTCAAATTTATAATTTAATATTCAATAATATTTTTCATGAATCAAACTAAAGTCTGTAACAAGTCCATGAAATTACAGCATTAAACACGATTTTGTTTTTTTTAAACACACATATCGATCTATGTTTTTATGTTATCCATCCAAGATTTACCCGATTTGTTGCTGTTGTTTGGTCAAAACGCTTAGATTTCGCACAGAATATCCAAGAAATGGTGGTATTTCCGGTATAAAGTGCTGGGATTTTCTAACACAACTTTTACAAGCTCTAAGGAATAATTTTATCAGAAATAATGCAGAATTGGATGAGTAATAAATATATAAAGAAAAAAACAAATTTATAGTAAAAGATTTAAGGAAAAAATTTAAAGTTGTTCTGGAGTAAAGTTTGGTGCATTTTTTATCGGCTCGAAAGGTCAATTGGTGACCATTAGTGGCTGCCACAGCAACCCCAGCACCTTGGCGTGTGCAAAATACTTAGGAGTTGAAGACCCACAAGCCTTTTTTATTATTGTTATTATTATTATTATGATGAGGCAGCGGCAGGCACTCACCCTCCATTGCCATCATGATGCAGACTGGAAAGGGAGGCGCCTCCATGCGGTGGTGTCGACTCGTGCAGCGGTCTAATAAGTATGGTGCTGGTCTATAAAATGGTACACAAAATGTATATATATATATTTATAAAGTTAAAACATTTAAAGAGTTCAAGCCACGCACCTGCGAGGGTGGCGAATCGGGCGATGAATCACGATTCTCATAAATATTCACATCCGCCTCGATGTTGCGCCCATAACCGGAGGCAGCGAACTCGTGGCCATAGAGCAGCATATCCTCGGCCACCTGACTCTCCATGGACGACTGATCGTGTGTGGTGTTGGCGCCGCTCTCCATCTGTATCAGCCCACCGGAGCCCTCCTGTTCCGGCTGTGTGGAGGTGGTCGATTGCGGTGTCGGCGGTGTGGGACGTGGCGAGGTGCCCTTGCATTGCATTTCCCGTCGGCAATGCTCGGCTCGGGCTATTTCCGCTGCCAGCCAAGAGGGCAACTCCGGCAGCAGCCAGGTGAGTGCCTGCCGCAGCCCCAACATGATGTGCTATGGGATATTTAGACGTGAAAGCAATGACATCAGCAATGCATAGTCGGAATCGTTTAATAGAACTCACTTCGAGTGTGACAATCAGTATAATTGTCTGAGCTGTGGTTAGTCCTGGCCAAAGCCTCGACACCTGACCGGAGAGCCCAATCAGGGCACAATTGACAATCACCGCTGCCAGCGAGAGAACACTCAGAGCATTCTGCCAAGTGCCAATATTTGCCACACGCTGTCCAAACGGCCGCTGATGCACATGTGCCAGCTTAAACGCATCCGAACGTATCTCCATGAGGTTGTTGATCAAAGCACATATACCGGCCAGGGGAAAGGCAGCCGAAAAGAGCACCACATAGCCCATTTGCACCAGCATCTCCAGGTGATCGGAAAAGGTGCCATCGTACTGAAATACAAACAGAGAAATTGGTGGAAAACGCAAAGTGGAGTACCACAACCGACCGGTGCGCACCTTATACAACGAACTCTCAATTTCGGCCTGGCCAATGTTCCTTTTAGTCGCTTCTTGGCTTTGCTGATGGCTTTTTGTGGGCGTGCCGCCAGCTGCCTCGGCCTTGAGTTCGGCCTCGGCTGTGGCCAATTCCTCTGCCAGACTACGTGTCACATGTTGCGTTGGGCTCAGGGCACCCCACATATTGAAGCTCAATTTGGCCAGTTTCCATTGCTCCATAAAATAGGGAATGGCCGATTCACGCAGATTGCCAATGATTTGTCGCGAGATGAGCAGGCCAGCCAGTTGCTAAAAGGAAACCAATACAGAAAGTAAGACAAGTGCCACACACAAGCTAAGGGGATTTGTCTTACCTCTTTGAGCTTCTCTTCATCGCGCAAATAGAAGGCTATATAGAAGAGCGATAGAAAGGAGTTGACAAACTGGAAGAGCGCCACTTTGGCTATCAAATGATTCTCATATTTCGATTGCAGCCGATAGTTTTCTGTACACAGAAAAAAGAGTTACATTAAGTTACATTATTGCAGCTTAAGCAATAATAATAATAATAATCACCTTTATCATTGAGCCACACCGCCAGCTTAAAGTAAGCCTCATCCATGAGGGTAATGGCACCTGCTAGCAGCACCTTTGGTATGACACTCAGACAGCATAGAACACTATCCTCCGGCAGCTTGGAGTCCCACCAGTCCTGCGATAATAAAAGTAAGAAAAATAAATACATTTATCCCTCAAATATGATTAACTGGACAACACAACAACAGGGCAAACATCAATATCAATCATCATAATTTGCAGCCACGCTCACACTCTCACTTGCCACCTACCTACTTTCCCCCCCAATAATTTCCGCTTTTGCCAAGCCTACTTTTCTCTTAATTAACCTGCAATTATTATTCATTCGCGCACTTCCTTTTCGCACTGTTAATGGAATGCACAGCATATTGAATGTTTACGCAGCTAATTTGATTACATTACAAGCTATTTCCGTGGATTCAGCAGCCTGTTCGATGGTTTTGTGGTTTCCTTTTGCACTACCCACACAAAGTTTCCCTGCGAAACTCTCAAGTGTCCCTGCTGAAAACCGTTTAAAATGACATTAAAAGGCAACAATAAGCCTTTTGTTGGTGCTTACAAACAAAAGAGAATGCGTTTTTCTTTATGTAAGTACATATGTACATACATATACTCCTTTCAATGATGTATATATATATTTCTGAACAGGATGTTTTTCCTTTTGTTGTAATGCATTAATTTCCTCTCTTAATTAGCTTCGCGTTTACCATGGTAATTTATTTTCTGCCTGCTTTCTGCTGTTTGGTAAAACTTAATTTCATAATTTATCAGTTGGGTGCAAAATGTTTCAATGGATTTTAATTATATATCTGATGAGAGTGTGCACACCATTAAACTGCAACAATTTGCCATAACAAACACACACACACATACATTGTAGTCCCTTTTATGTGTTACACAACCTCCAGCAGCTAAACCACTAAACCTAGAGGAAATTCGCCAACGTTAAACAAAGCTTCAGCCCGCACCTCCTACAACCCACTGACCTGCTCTTGACAGGCGCCACACACACACAAACAAACACACAGGAACCTCGCCACCGCCATGCTTCATTACGGCCGCATTTAAGTGCTCGGCTGAGCAGTAAAAAAAAAAAAACAAAAACAACCCAAAAAGCCATTGTCCCCTTGGTTCGGTTCCAGGTACGCATTAAGCCACATGAACAGCCACCAAAAACACCCAACAGCAGCCAACAGCCAACAACAATGTCAACTGTCCCCCCACCCCTTGGCTAAGTGGAGTGTTGCAAAGGTGGACAGGCTCTTTAACACTCCAACTACTCCTGGTGAGTGGAAGAGCTGAACGTGTGGCGATAGTTTATAGAAGCGAGCTCTCTTTGGCGCCACTTTTAATGGAAAAGTACTATTATTTAGAGTACATTTGATGTACGGGCTAAATAAGAGAAGAAACCAGTGAGTAGAATACTTGAACTCTACGCTAAAAGAAGAAAGTCTGTGAAAGTGTATCGAACTTAAACTATTTGTAATACAATTTATGCCTCGATTGTTGCTAAAATTCCAGTATTCCTCTCAGCATTGCTTATACAAATATTATGCAAGTGCTCTAAAATAAAAAGTATTTGTTAAAGTTGCTTCTTTAGCAAGTATCAAGTATCCATAAACTTTATTGATCTTGTGAGAGCATATAATCCGAATCGGAATCACTCAATGAATATTTATGGCAGCATAAAGTGAAGTTTTCTTTAGCATATTTGTTCGTTAGCATATTACTTTTAGTTCTACTCAAAGAAAAGTTATTGCTACAAGAGTGTCAGTCAATATTCATAGGGTTCAATGGCTCCCTGTGGATATTTTTTCGGGTAATTTTTACCCCACCATCTATCAAATCCAATTATCTGAATATACACCAAAAGCCTGGCCGCAATTAACACTCGAAGGTCAGAGCTTATGACAGCAGTTCAGAGCTCAAAAGGTTCCTGTATAATGGTCTGTTGCCTTCATCTTATCATAACACGACAGGTAGGTCCCTATTCACAGGCAAGCAAAGTTGACAAATTAAAGTTCATTTCCCAGTAGATTCAATGTTGCCCGACAATTAACACATGAAGGTCACAGATACTCGTAGTTGATGGCAGGAGAAGGTAGGAGCAAAAACTATGCCCTCCCTCTTTCTTACCATCGTTGTGTGTTTGCTATTATATTTCTGCACCATGCCCAAAGCTGGACGTGTACTGGGCGACTGTTAGGGACATTTAATTATGCGTAGAATTTTTTAATGTCAACCAAAGTTTCTTCTATCAAGCTCTCCATTTCCCACTCTTTCTACACCAACTACACCATATGTATATCTCACTCTATGTCTTTCTCTCTGGCTGCCCCAAGGCGGTTTTCTTTTTCGACAGCTGGGAATTTTAATTAACGTCAGTCCTTGCTGATGGGGCAGCAAAAAAGAAAATGCGTGTGGAAAATAATGGGGCCCCACAGCTAACGCAAAAATGCCTCGACCATGGTGTGCAAAAACCTCGTACATATGTGTGGTTAAAGTTTTAATTGAAACGAAAAAATAATACTTGGTAAGCGGTTCGCCAGGAAGCATGGGGGGCGCTACCAGAACAATTCCCTTTGTTTGGGATTGGATGGACACGTGTTTTGATGGATGGCAGAAATAAGAAAACATTTATCTAGCGGTGAACCACTAAAATAACAGATGCCGATGGGTAGAAACTACAGTTTACAATGGAAACTACTTTGCCAAATGGAAGCTGATGATTGGTTACTCTCGTTTATATTGAACGGTGGGCTTGTGAATGCTTTTACTTTTTCCGCCGCCCCCAAATACTTTAATTTATAATTACTAGAGTCATAAAACCCATCCATTAGGCTGATGCAAAAATGACAATGACAATGACAAACTATCTACGACTAAAATACAACATATGAGCGGGAGTCAAACATACAAACAACTTACAGACATTGATTATAATTGGTTGATAAGTAGATTGCAAGTTAAAAATTAATAAGAACCTTGTGCAAATTATACATGCATTGAGCAATTCCTTTATCGGGTATTTTATGGTGATCCAGCCAATCCTGTGAAGTACAAAAAAGAAAAACCAAACGGAAAAGTCCAAAGGAAAATATATACAGATTGTATGTAAAAACAATTCAATGAGGCGTGATGAGTGATAAACGTATTCATTTCACTGCTGCTTCAGCGCGTTGTATTCGTTGCGAAAAAAAAGACGTACTAAAAAGAAGAAGAAGAAAAAAATAAAATGCAAACAAAACAAAACAAAAAGACAGGAAAACAGGAAAATGAAAGCAAAAAGTGTGCACAATGCAATAACAGAAGCGAAGCAGCAACAACAACCACAGCGGAAGCGGAAGCCAGCCAAAATGTGTGAGAGTGTCGTAGAGAAAGTTAAGGTATCAAGTGTGTGTGTGTGTGTGTGTGTGTGTGTGTGTGTGTGTGTGTGTGGGTGTGGTGGGTGTGAGACATTTAAATTGTGTTGCTGTGTGTCTGTGTGAGTGCTCGTCAAAGCGTGCGAGACAAGGCCCCTACTACAACAACAGGCAAGCGACTAACCAAAAATGTTAACGCAAATTGATAAACAGGCGAGACACACGCACACGCACACGCACAAAAGCACAAACAACACACACTCGCACACTCGAATTTGAGGCGCCCATAACGTGTAAACAATATTAATTATACGCACGGTGCAACACTCGTGCATATTGGCCCCAAACGACCAGCACAGGCACAGGCACAGCACAGGCACAACCAAGCGCAAGCGCCATGCGGCATGCGGCCGGGCGTGCGTGATCGAAACGTGCTTGAAAATACCCTTGCAAATAAAGTTTTATGGTTTCGAGAAGCACTGCAAATGGATTTCCATAAGCCATAAAAATATGATTACATAATAATGATATGCCTTAACGATTCTGTTTCGTTTGTGAAGGACTTTAAGCGGTGGCAGGTGGATTTTTTTTGGTGCAGTTCGGACAGGTTTGCTTGAGTTTTGGCTGCTAACCAGATAGGGCAATAGCAATCAGAAATCAGCAAAGAATGAATCAGTGGGTGGTTTTTAGCATGCCATAATGATGCATTGCTTTCAACTTGCGCTAAACTACGTAAAGTTTAATATCGAAATGATTCCATGGAGTATTTTTCATGCACAGTGCATATGAAATGAATATAATAATGAAATGAAGCTTCAAATGGGCTTCTCAAAGCTACACAAAATACGTAGGCAATAGGCTAATTAGGAAGTTTGAATACTCAAGAGTTCTGGAAGCATTCACAAAAATCTATTTTCAGCTTGATTCGCTGATGAATAATTTAATTTTAGAAATCTACTTATCTATGTAAATTTTACATAGTAAAAAAAAGGCTTGTTAATTCGAACCCTTACTTATGTGCTTCAAAAGGTTACCGGTTCGAGCCCAGGTGCGGAACAGGTATTTATTTTTATTCATTTAATTCATTCAATTTAGTTGTGAAATATTTAGTGCCATTCAATCCTACTAAGGAATCATTATTTATACTTAGACTTTAAGGTTGTTCCTTAAATCTATCAGTCTAACTGTCTTTCCAGTTTTTAGCAATGTATAATTAAATTTTGAATGTAAATATTTGCATTTCCGTTCCACTAATATTTTGTAGAACACACAAAACACATAGAAACCTTTAAATCGTTTACCAGCTTTGCAAGGGTATTTTGAAGCTCAGTTCATACACTCACACTCACACCACCACACATGGAATCAAAAACTTTGTTAAAATGAAAATTCTCAGCTCACCTGAAAGCGCAGCATGAGAAACATCACAGCAAAGACCATGCAGAGACAACAGCCTATGATGGGAAAGCTAACCAAGTAGCGGAAGGCGCGACGTTGCCAGGCAGGCGCCTCTTTGGGCTCCAGACGACCCGTCACATTGTTCTCCTCCAAAGGGCCCTAAAAAATGTATGAATAATAATCCAAGTAAATAAACTATCAATCAGTCGAAGTGAACGCACCTTATAGAGCGGCCTAGGGGGCTCGAGTAACTCGGGCGGCGTGGACAGAGTGCCCCAGCGAAAGGCCAACTCCACAGAGTACCGCTTCCAGGCCTCCAGATACAGTGAGGCCCAGGCCACATTGAACAGCGAGAAGAGCACATGACCCATGTCCTGGGCCGTTTGACCCTTGCCCCAGAGAATGCAGTAGAGAATCGTGCCAAAAACAGCCGGCACACCCAAGGCGCAAGTGTAGTGACCCAACCAGGCAAAGTACAGGGCAACCTTCACCCCAAAATAGGCAGCAATGTCATCTGAAAGTGAAGGGAATAAGTTGTATAATTTGATTTATAACGGCAGAAGCAGCAGCCACAGGACTCACCCAACGGTTGCGGTGCAAATATCTGCTTGACCCAGTGCGTCTGGAGTTGTGTCAACGACCGTGGTTCGTGCAGCGGAAAGACCTGTGTAATGAGACCCGACTCCTGCCAGGCGGCCACAATGCTCTGGCCCTCGGCCACTGCGGCGCGTCCATGCAGCGCATCGATGTCACTGCAGCCGGCACGCAGGCCCTGCAGCACCTGCAACACCAGCCACTGGCGCTCCTGTGAGGTGAATAGCGCGGTGCTGGCCACATCGCCTCTCAACTGCTGAAAGCAATGGCTCTCGCGTGTGGTAAACTCCCTTAGGGCGCCGCCAAGATCCGGACGCAGACGCTTGGGCAGGCGGGCCTCTTCGGCGGCTTTAAAAAGACTGCAAAAAAAAAAAGTTAAATTTCAGTTGAAGACTATTAAATATATTCTCATCAGTTTGACCTAAAAACTGCACAAAAGCGGCAGCATAAAAAATGCATAAAATATAAATAATTAAATTTGCATTTCTCACGTTGAATAAACCGCAAAAAGGTAAAGCTTTCAATTTACATCTAGCCAACGCTTGGGATTGGCGCCACTTACACATTCACGGGGGCACTGACATAGAAGGCATTCCGTCGCGTGCTCTCATGTGCCTTCACCTGCACCAGGAGACCCAGCCCGGCCGGCGGTTGGGACCGTATGCGTGCCAGCAGCCAGCGCAGTGCCTCGTCCGGGGCATCCTCGGGAAATTCAATGACCACGTCACATTGCGTTGGGATTTTATTCAGCCAGAGCCGACGCGGCGTCATCAAATGACCAGCGTAGGGCACCTTGCGGCGTATATGGCGGGAAGCTGCAAGAAAGCGTAAACAAACAAAAAATATATAAACCATTCAAATAAACTTTTGCTAGGATTTCTCTTTGATCTCTGACCCCCTCTTGTCTCATGTTTCCCCCCCAACCCATTTTTTTTTTATTTTTTCACTTCCATTTTTAGTTTTTTTTTTTCACTTCCATTTTAAGTTTAATGCATATTTATGGTCTGCTGCCGACAGCGGGAAAAATCTGACAACAAAGTGGGTGGACTAAGGGAATTGGCGTCGACAAAAAACGCTTTTTGGACAGGTAAAAAAAAATATGATACAAAAAAAAAGCGATAAGCGCATCAGAAACAGAAACAAGCTTGCGAAAAAATGTGATAATATTTGGAGTAGTTTAAAAAATATATTTACATTTAAGTTTTAAAACTACTCTACATATTTGGAAATACCATATTTGTGGCTGTTGCCAGAGCTCATGAGTGCTTTCATCATAGCGAATCCTTGAAGTAATCTCCGTCGTAGTCTTCTTTCGCTGGCACACCCAATAGATAAAGCACAGCCCTCGCTCTACTTCTCTTCCTCAATGCTATCCGAAACAGAGAATATTTGATAAGTAAATTGTACCATCGGGACCCCGCAGCAACGTCCCAACCAGAGCAGCTTTATGTTGCATAACAACGCAGATGGCGAATGACAAAAGATGAGCAAAGGTAGACGACAATGGTGGTTATACGGAGTAAAGAATAGAGCAGAGTGACAGAGACAGAGCGAGTGCAAACACAGACCAAACAAATAAAACATGGGAAAGAACGTAAATAACAAACCGCAAAAATTTGCCACAACTTTTAATTAGAAGAGGTGCCACAGCAACCAGTGCAAAGGACAGACCGCCTGCCCGCCCGCTCTGCTCTGCTCAGCCTGTGAATGAAAAACATTCAAACAAGAAATTTGAGAGAGCTCACACTTCACTCTCCCACCCCGACAACTCGCCATTTGTGTGCGAAATTCGAGGCACTTTTTCCCGGTGGAATCAATAAAAAGTAACAGCAAGAAAAATCAAAAAATTTGACTAATGACAGGACAAAAGCTGAGAGGTGCCCCACCAAAGGAGTGGCAGAAAACCACTCAGTAACTAATTTTGGCCACCAGAAAGAATCCCGGTTTCGTAATTAATTACGAACCCCCAAAAAAAAATAAAAGAAAATGCAACAAAGGGAAGGGGCAAGGGGAATTGCAATGGGGAAAAAGTGAAAAGTCAGCGCTGGGCGAGAACTGATAGGAGAACTACTTGCTGCTTGCTACTTCCAGACCAAATTCTGTGGCCTTGTGGGGGCCATCAGCAGCTTTCACTCTGCATTCGGCTGATGACAAATGACACTTTCAATGACCTTTAATGGTGGTTTCGCTCGCTTGCCTCCGATAAGAATAATAATAATGGTCGCTTCTCTCAGAGTTTGCGAAGCTCATTACGGTTGCCATACGGTTTTGCGATAAGGTTGAGCTATGGGGCACATTGCAAGAAACCAAACAGAAGCCTAAAAGAAGGTCGCGTAATTGGTAAACTTGTGTTTAAAGAAGCAACCACAAAAAACCACGAATTAAAGCGAGGAAAATCATTAAAAATGGAAGGAGTTCATTCAATAATTTACTAAAATAAATCAATCAGCTAATAAATTATAAAAAATGTAAACGGCTTAAACATTCATTTGAAAATTAAATAAACAATAAAAGTAGGTTCAATTATGCATTAAATTCGTTTACATTTATGGCAAAGACAAATAAAATGTAGGCAAAAAATGATTAAGGGATATAAATTTAATTATTTCTCAATTCATTTGCATTTCCATTACTCCTGGTATTCCGCTCATCAGCATAATTTCTTTTTTATCCCAGCATTCATTCCAATTACTAGTATTAAAATTTAATCGAATATTAAATTTTTCCTAATTGAAAAACAATATCCCACCCAATGAATACAAAAATAAAATGCCAAAAAGTCTCTTAACTCCGCAAAGTCTCTTAACTCATCCATCTAATTTTAATACCAGGCAAATGTTGTTAAATAAAACTTAGAGAGCTCCTCCATTAAAATCTGCTTAATATTCGAAGCCGCTTATATCCTAATTGAAAAATGATTGCTCAAAGCATAAACCTTGAATTATTTTCTCGCAAGAAACGCAAAATACTTTGAATCTCTTAATACCCATAAAAAGCTTTCATCAACTAAAATAGACTGCCGCTTCCTTCTAATGACCCAAATGCATTGTTCTTGGCTCAACGCAAAGCTCTCCGTTTCTCTCATCATTAATTACGCATCAAAAGCAAATAAAACCATTTCTATTCTGGTAACAGAATTGCTTTCCTAGCATCAAACCCATCTCATGTGGCAAATGTAGATATTTATGCAACAAACTCATTTCGATAGATTAGATTTCTGTGTCTATATGGGTGGTGGTGGAGGGCCCCAAAAATAACTTAATTAGGATATGTAAATGCCCAAAAGCAGAACATAGAACAAACAGCGCACATAAATATCTGTGCATGTTTTATACATATGTATATGTAAAACCCATTCGAAATGACAGGCATAAACCACAGGCCACAGGCCATACCAGCGGATGTATATTTGCAGTATTTGCAGAGCATGTGAATCACATAATGCGAAATTTGATAATTAATGCCATAAATAAAACACAACCAAAAAGCCCAAAACACCAAAAACCCGCATCCGATCCGATAGATACCAACCAATGCTGTTGTTGCATGCCAAATGAGCTGTGAATTTAATTTGTACTCGTTCTCGTATTTGTACATATCTGGCAAAACGCAATGAATCCAACGCCGGCACCAGCATCAGCACCAGCACCCATGGGTAGGATAAACCAATACAAGATTGCCATTTTGTTATGCTAAACACACACAAACACACACAAGCTGGGAGCTCCCCATGCCTCAGGGGTTGCCCTTTTTTTCTCTCACGCATTGCACATAAAAGTGTGACAAAAGAATGAAACACCGACGAGCACGCTTCGCTCTGAATAGTTGGCAAACCATGAGGGATTAAAGAATAAAGTTCCAAGGAAATAAGGGACTAGGACAGCCGGACAGCAGGACACTTTATAGCTGGGAATAGCTGGCATATGCTAATGAAGCTTAGCAGCAATAAAAGATTTAGTGTCCCAGCGTCTGGATGAAGCTAATTTGCTGGTGAGATTACAGTACAAGATATTAAAGATATGTACTACATATAAGGAAATAGCTGGCAATGTTCGGATTACGTGATAAGGTTAAATGAAGAACTAAGCTAATATGCAATGGAATATTTTTTATATTTATTTATTTATATTTTATATTTATTTATTTATATTTTATATTTATTTATTTATATTTTATATTTATTTATTTATATTTTATATTTATTTATTTATATTTTATATTTATTTATTTATATTTTATATTTATTTATTTATATTTTCATATATCTATGTATATTATACATATTTGTATATATATTTTTAAAAGCTTCTTAAATATTACAAGGAATATTTCTTATTCTGATAAATACAATAAATAAATTTTTGACTTTAATATTTCTTGAAAAACTATTAGCAAATACTTTAAATAAATAGTGAAAAAAAAACACCTTATCCACAAAAAATTCTCTGCTCATTTTTAGGTCTTAAACCTATCAAATGTCTGCAGAAAATAAATCTCTATAGATGGAAAAAAAATTAGAACAGAAATTCGTTAAACTAATTTCATCAATAAAACGAAACCAATCAGCCATGATGATCAGGGGGACGACTTCAAGCCAATCTAAGCCAAATCCAATCTAAACCAATTCCAGTGAGTAATTCGGGACATCGGGAGCAGAACAGAACAGCAGAATAAGCATCAGAGACCTACATCAACATGGAACTACACACACACACAATTCATTATACAGTCGGCAGGCACATGCTTAAGTTGACACCGACGATGGGAGAGAGAAAGTGCCAGCTAATGCTTTCGGCTGTTAAATCAGCAGTGGTAGAGACCGACCCCCAGGGTATGACCGAGAACTGTGCTCTGAATAATTAATGAAATCGGCATGGGGCTCGGCTGGGTGCCAAAACCAAAGCGCAGAAGAAACCCAGAACCCCAACCCTGAATCCGACCTCTAGCAACGCATAATTTGTTGCATAAGAAGGCAGGAGGAGGAGGAGGAGGAGCAGGTAGAGCTGTGAAGGCTTCAATTTAATCAACAGCAACCGAGACTTTGAGCTTCGTGTGATTGCTGCAGCTTAGAGGGGTATCCATCCATCCATCCATCCATCCTTCTTTCCAGCCATTTCTGCGAGTTGGATGGATGACTTTTCCTCCCTGAAACATTCAGTTAAAACAGTTTATGTTTTAATTAACCTTGATGATGATAATGATGATGGGCTAAAGCAACAGAACAGAAATGACTAGAGGTGCTCATTAGCAAACGCTCAACACTCTGGAGTACACAGTGAATGCCTCGCCTAATTGACTAGAAAGCAGCTCGAAATGCGTCTAATTGAAATTAGATGATGTAATTTTGATGATGGCAGGAGGTCTGGTCTGTTCTGGTCTGGCCATCACCATCTACTTTTACGTCTACTATGTATTTCCACCATCATCGTGATACCCGATCTAATCAGCGAGTCCAGTCAGGTACACACTTGGGGGGAGGGTCACTGGTCGACACGATGCCCAGTCACATGTCCCCTTGCTGGTGGAGACAGAACAGAACAGGACGGGGCAGGGCAGGACAGGGCTTTATGATGGGACAGGAAGCATACATATTCTGTCCACAACCAAGTGGCAAGTGGCAAAGTGCAGCTATCTTGCCACAAAATGTCACATAGTAAAGAGGTCACCCCCAAAAGGGGTTCAGCGGTAAAGGCTTTGAAGAAATCTTATTGATTTTTCTTAAATATAATGGAATATATATATATGGAATGATAATGATATTTTAGCAAGACTTTTTGTATCTCTACTTAGGCATACAAAAAACTTTTCAAACTTG